GTTCATTCTTTTAGTAACTTAATTACACACACAGTACATGTTTTCTAATTTAGATAACAAAACCACTTAGTTTTATGTAGGTTTTTAAGAGCGGTTATATTTCGCGTAAATTCTGAGCCACCATTTCGCTTTATAGTCGAGGCAAAAACAATTTCATCATATTTTTATGGTGAAAATATTTTGACGTGTTATTTTGCAAGAAACAAGTTTAAATTATATTAGAGTAACCTGTTTAGCTTGCAAATATTTGTTTACAAAATAATAATCTTCAGTTTGTAACACCGTGTTAATATAGTTTGATAAGTCTTTATCGAAGGCGGTTTAAATTAACCTTGTTTCATGTTCGGACGTGTTGTATAAAGTTTGCACATTAAAATGGATTAACCCAGTTACATAATTATTTATCCGGTGGAAAATGTGTTTGAAGGAACTGCTTTTAAAAAGAACCGAAATTAATGCCTCTGTTTAATTGGAAAATGTTTTACATTCTCGTATCCGTCGTGGCAGAAAATTGTTACGTTTGCAGCATCAGTGCTTTTTGCTGAAGCATTTGCTTGTTGTGATGGAACCCTTTGAGCTTACCTTGTCTAATCAACTCTTTTTGTTTGGTGCTGTTGTGGGCTTAATCCTTGTTTTACAGGTTTGGCCGGGGTCCGCTGTAACGCCCTTGCAATTGCTAAATCTCGTCGAATTACACAGGAATGCCTCTAGGTTTTGTTTATGGTTTTGCAGAGATTGTATTTTGATCTTAAATTTTTTATAACTAATCTTATTCTCATTAGTAGCGCTGAAAATGGTGGATGCGCCGGGCAAATGTGAGTTGTATTGACGGAAAATTTTAGAAATAATTTGGATACAGTTTGATTAGTTTTCTGTTGGTTAGGTGGTGGGATATGACTCATATGCTACAGAATGATGAGCGGCTTAATTTAAATTACGTTCCCATTTATATTCAAATTCACTTGTATTTTAATGTCGTGTTTCTCCTATCTAGAGAATACCTTCAATTACGATTGCCTTTCACCGTTTGCATAATGCGAGTATCCTTATTTTAAAAGAGTGGGAGAAAATATTGCAGGTTTTATATTAAAATGTCGTTAAAACAAAACTTTTTCAAACATTGAGTACATTTTGTGAGTGCCAGCCACATATTACATTAATGTGTTATTATATTATCGAACATGTAAATAAAACTTTGAAGCCTTTGATGTGCTGCTTTTAACCAAGCTTGTGAATACTATTAAATTGAGTGGTGATGCAAAACAATATTATCTGCAGAATTCAATAACATGACAACAAGGCTTCGAGTGATCAATTAATAAATAATGAAACACAAGAGACAATGAATTTATTTAACAATACATTTCTGTTAAAAGCTCTAAATGAGATTAAGTGCATGCATGTTAACGGCATAACAGGAATATATCCACTCAACTTCTTCCGTTATTCATGTAAATTTTGTTGTTTTTGCGGCGCCTTTCCACTTTGCATTTAAAAGCTCACTATGCATTTTCCTCTACTTGACGAATTGGTGACGTTCTTCAAATACGCTACATCATCCTCAAGCGACGCTATTTTTAAAGCTTTACAAAATTGCTGGCTTTTGCTGCTTATTTTGCTGAATTCTTTAAATATTGAGGTGCCGATATGAAGAGAATTTTTCTCATAAATTTTGAAATAATCGATATTACGACTCTAAAATTGCGGAAATAAATATATCAAAGCAAAAAGACCAGTTTGATATTTTACGGTTCGTATCGAAACTTATAGTGGCGTGGCATTTAAATCAACAGAGATAGAATAAATTTCAAAAGCTTCTTTCGTGTAAGCAACGAGGCATTCAAGATCATATCGACTCACGTGTTTGGTGTTACTTAGAATGTGTTATACTCACCAGGAAAACATTTTTTAAATAACAACGCTGATAATTAATGTTTTCTTCTTTGCTTGAGTGTGTTTAGTGAATAAATAACAGAACAATTAACAAAATAAAAAATATCGAATTTAATTCAAGAATAATCTAGAAGTATTTTTGCTATTTAATGTACTTGACAGAAAAATTCAAAATGTAGAAAATATCGAATTTAATTCAAGAATAATCTATAAGTAAATGTAGAATTTTTCTGTCAAGTACATTAAATAGCAAAAATACTTATAGATTATTCTTGAATTAATTTCGATATTTTTCATTTAATATAATGATATTGCTTCTCATTTATTTTCATAAACACACAGTATCATGCAATATTGAACAAATCAATACATCAGTAGGTTTGCAAATAGTTAACTATTGATTTGGGTTGCAATATCAAGTTACGAGTGTAAATTTTGATTTGATTTCTTTTATTGTGTTGGCAGAATTTGATTAAAACATTTATGAAATTACAATGTTTGTTCAGAGTTTTGCATCATTTTTTTCATACTTATCATAATTCAAATAAATAGTTAAATTTCTGCGGCAGTTTTTAGCAATTTTTTTTTAAGTTATAAGATTTTTTTTTAATTTTTATCCGAAAAGCTTGTTCAGTAAGTTAGTGCAACACACTGTGAAATGGCGATTTAATATATTGTCAGATTGCTAATTTTTTATACTGGTTGTGAGCTAATTTGCCGTTCTTCCAAATTGGCTAGTTTCGGCTTCTTGAACTTTACATTTCTCTGTTAATCGTAGTTACATTTGCAGTCCGTTTGTTTGACTTACACGAGCAAATATTCGCACATTGTGGAGTTTGATGTAAGTTTTACCCGAGGGTACAATGAGGTTACCCTTGTGTACTCTTGCAAGTGTTCTAACACGGCTAATATAGAAACACTGCGATCCCTTGCAAAGGACTTGCAAAAACTAGGACCTGTGGGAGCCATCGCTGCCGGCCCTTTGATTTATCCGATGGCCCTTGAAATTGTCATCAACTTTTGATTTGTTTTATCTAAACAACTTGAACTTCTTTTCGCTGTTTGTGAATTGAGCTCCACGACACCACTCCAACATACATAGCCGGAAACAGGTGCTTTAAGAACGATTTATTTTCGAAAATATTTATTTTTTTCTACAAGTTTTCAATTTCAACTCAAATAATCCGATGTGTACGTAGATTTGGGCTACAATTCGAGCCAAATAAATATGTTTTGATTTTATTTTCCACCCTATTGCCACTTCTTGTTTGGGTCAAAACTTTCTTTGTGTTTTCTAGGAGGGCAGACGTGTCAATCGCTTAAAATATATCACGCACTTGGATTCGAATTTTTCAATCTGATATTATAGTTTTTACGAATGTGTCTGAGTGGCATATCCAATCGATCGGTATTCTGAGCTTTACCAAATAGATGTTTGGGATTCCTTGCAGCAAACGTAATCTCTGAAAGCGAATGACTTACATGATGTTACAACATGTTATTTTAAATACATGGGATATATAGCAACCTCTAGTTCGAATTTAATTAGTAAACAAGGCTCGAGCAACGTTCTGTTATTTTAAGCGGTTAACCGCTAGAACATAATGAATGGTTGGAAAACTGCATAAGATTTACTTTATCCTATTTAGTTCTCCTCGAACCGTGGATTTTAGCTTTGTTTCTAGTTTGATTTCAGACACCAATCGAATTGAATTTATTTCAGCGAATAATGCAAAAAAATTTTTCGAATTTATTGTCTCCTATAAACTTCTACCGAGGATATAATTCTCGAGTCTGACTGCAGCAATATGCAGTGCTGTATACAAAGCAATGGGCATAATCAACAACAGTGTAAACACACATGACACGTAATTTGAACCTGTGACATACAGACGCAGCCGTCGCTTTATTATCGCCACCGCTACCGCCGGCAGTTTAATAACACCGCCCCTCTTCAAGCCGAAGGATCGCAGACCCTCCGTTAAAGCTCACAACCTATGTCATCGAATTAAATATTTCAGACATTTCGAACAGGGCTTGAATTTTAATTAGAAGTTTTTACATTTTTAGCAAGAAGTCAGTTCAATTACTATTAAATTACTAATACTCTACTTGTATCGGGTTATTATACCCAATAAATGTATATGTATACTTATACACTGCCCCAATTAAAGCGAATTTTTCAATAATGTCACTGCTTTTATTTTATCTCTGTTTTTTATGATGCATTATTAAAAGTTATGTAAATGGTCAAGTCGGGTTGCTGAAATATCAGAAAATCAGAAATCGAAGAGATATTTTTTAGTCCGCACTGCAATTTTACACAAGCACATAAAAGACTTCTGGCTGGTGTATTTTTCATTCTCCATCAAAATATTGAAGGGTTGAGGGCTTTATTGTAGATTAAGTTTATTAATAATTCAATTTCGTGAATAATGACGGAGCGCTGTAAATATAATTATTACTCTGATAAGAAGTTTATGTGGTGACTATAAAATTACGTACTTTCGAGACAGAGAGAATCGGCAATGTTGGTTATAATTATTCTAAAATAAGGCGGATTTAGAATTAAAGTGAAGTTATGTTAAACAAAAAGACATTTTTTCTTTTTGAGCTCGAATGCAAAAAAATAGAATGGTGCTCTTTTATAACGAAAATTATCGCAAGTATTGAATAACTGAAAAAATAAGCACACAAGGGAGATTTTCATGGATTATTATGGATTAGGCTTTTAATATATGTTTGGTATAGAAAGATAAATAACTGACGGTTTTACCTGCTAATAAGGGGATAATTTTTTAACTGTTAAAATTATGAAAGAATCTTGGCGATAAGAGCCAACTGCTTCAGGGAATTTGAGGGTTGATTTATTAAATAGATCACAATAAGAGAGAAATGTGTATAAATCAGTTGATGTAGAAATAGGACTGCCATTTCATTTGTGCAGTAGTATTTATCAAAACAGCTTCAGTCGGAACCATGTGCTATTTCTGATAGGTCCCTGAATGGAAGTATCTCTATCGCAGTTTCAGACGAGCATTGTTTAACTTCGATGAATGTCTTTTCAAACCCAAATGCGGGAATGTTAATTTTCTACTTTTTTTCAGATGACGATTCAGCTTCAGTCCACGGTATCATCACAAAAGAGGGACTCTTCGAAGGCACAATTTCGACGGCTATCGAGGATTACCATGTAGAACCCGTCAGTCGTTACCTACGACCCAACGAAACGAAGCAGCCTTCTTCATTTCACTCCATCGTGTACAAATCGTCCGACGTTCGAGACCCCCGAAAGGGTGTATCGTGCGCCTCCTACCGCTTGCATTTAAACAATTTGGAGAAAAACACAGTCGATAGAGAGAATTACCCGGAACGGAGGAGTAAAAGATGGCTTCTAGAGGCCGAAGCGAAACTGCCCTACGATGATTCGACTTTCTGGCATCTCAACAAAACGAAACATTCTTTTTCGCCAGCCTACGACCTAAATCAGCCTATTGACGAGGAGCTTGACTTAATTACGAGCAACCGGACTAATGGCGATTTTCCGGGCATTATTTTTCGGAATGTTAATAAAAGAGCCACCATCGATCCGAAAAAAACCACCTGCATGTTGTATCTTCAAGCCGACCATCAGTTTTTTTCAAAGTATGGCACCGAAGAGGCCTGCATCGAGGTTATGACCAGACACGTCCAAAGAGTAAATGCCATCTATAAAGCTACAGGTAACGTAAATTTTCTAAACCGCTTCCACTAGACCACACAACTTAGCAATTTAAGCTACTATCATCAACTACCACAGGAATTTAAGATGGGTATATTTAATAAAAATGTTTCTGTTTCATTGATTTTTTGTATGTGAAGTAATTTGTGAGATATTTACTATCGAAAATAGCTTATATTTTTTGAGAAACATGAGACGTCCTACTGTAACCACAGATGGGAATATAAAACCCAATTTAAATTGGCGAACTTAACTGGCCGCAGAAGATTAAAGTTGCAGTAACCTTATTTGTTTCACAATTCTTTGCTGACAAAAATGAAATAAGCTTTTTGTTTAACTTTCAACTGGCTCTGTTTTCTTTTTTTTTTCAGTTTGATGGCAGTTAATTAAAAAACCGATATCGACTTGTAATCAAAACAAATTGCTAACTTAATTATTGTATATGTCAAAGAATAAGAATTGAAACTGAATTTCCGTAAAAAAACTGAAAATACAACTGTCTACAAACAGCGTATGCAAATGAGATTAAAGTGATTTTGTAAAATGACGTTTTTTTTGTTATTGTAAATATACATAATCAAAAGAGAGATTTTTTCAGGGATTTGGCTGGGTAATAAAGATCTATTATCTATTCCATAAGAGAGAATCAGGGGTTAATCGAATTTTTTTCCTGAAACGTATTCTCTTGGAGATAAGATAAAATATTTACTTGGCGCGAGACAATTGTGATTTTAGATTGGAAGAACTGAACACGGATACGCTTTCAGACGAGAATTTCTAACCTGAACTGTCCAACAACTTGGGTTAATATTGTTTGTTTCATACTTCACCCTCAAACGACACTTTTCCTCGTCTTTAGCACATTTTACTCTTCTTATTAAATTTTTGCGTGGAACTTCTCCACGTTTTGATTTTATTCGAACAATAAATTTATGTATTTCTCTAGTCTATAAATTTTTATTTGCACCGTCATGAGAGTACAGAAATAAATTTGCACGAGCGTGATTTTAAATAACGAGAGAAAAAACACGTTCTTGTCAGTACCATATTATAATAAATCACAATTTTTAATTCTCTTTGGACGTTACAATTTATCAGTGGCATATATTTGGCTTAAATTTAAACACGAGCATGATTCATGCACAAATTAGACCAAGCTGAAATTTTTCGAATAATATGAAGGATTTCATTTCTAGATAGACGTTTTTGGCCTTTTTCATGGACGCCAAGAAATAAATTGGGCAACATTTCGAAAATTAGACGTCGTAAAACAAATACACGCTATTCTTTTCTGAGTTTAAATGGTCACGATCAGGCGACTTTGTCTTGTTTAAAATTTCATGTTGCCAGTAGAGTTTAACAAGGAAATATTTTACCACAGTACAAAGTTAATATTGATGCAAGCAACATTACGAGGGGCTGGCGCGGTGCTAACTTTCATTTTGACGCAAGTTGTACATCAGTTTATTTTGTTTGCAGATTTCAACCAGGACGGTAAAGCAGATAATATAACTTTTATGGTGAAACGAATTAAAGTGCATACAACTGACGCCCTCAGGGATCCCCTCTACAGATTTCCCAACAATTATGGCGTCGAGAAATTCCTAGAACTTTTCTCAGGTAAGTGCCGTGCTTCTATATTATTCACAACGAAATTCGTGTGTATCGAAAGTAGAAAATCTCAATAGTCAACACTAGCAGACTTATCAAAATTATGCCGAAATACATGACCAGAATTCCCTTAACATGATCCAAAGTGACTTGGGGTGATTGAGGCAAATTTACGTTCTCTGATTTCTCTCTCCGTATCCAAATATATTCCAATCTCTGAAGAATCCCAGTGCTCCTCATTTTGATGACCCTTGAAACTTCCATATCGTACAATGTCGCAATTCTTTGATGGAAAACTTACGTAGTGTCTATTAATTTTTTGTATTTGAAACTCTTCGACATCAAAAATGAATTTCCTGTCTGAAATAATCTTTCTTGATTGCTCATTATCTCACACGGTAGATCATAATTTTTCAATATCATGTCCATCACCGCTCGATTTTCTAAAATTACCAAGTCCTCGTTACACAAAATTGCAGGTAGATTCTCCTGAGAGGTTATATCCATGCAGTTGCGACCGTTCAATATTCCACGCCACCGAGGAAGTATTTCTCTATTTTGGTTCTACAACAGCAATAATTACCGAAGGTTGCACGAGAAAATTTAATCACACTTGAATTAATTAGTCAAATGCATTTTCATAGCAATTTATTATTAGGAAGGAACTTACTGTAAAGTTATTGTAGACGAAACTATTTGATCGCAAACAAAGTGAATGTGTGCGCTTGTTGGCAATATCATCCAATGATTTGAATGGAAAGGGAATGTCAAAAACAGCCAGTTGAGCAACTAAAACGGCATTCATTGCGGAATATAGCACCACGCCTAGGATTAAAGCAAACATCACTTGCATTCGCCCCGAGTAACTTGACAATTTTACATCGAAACCTGAAATGTATATTAATTTCGAAAAGGGAAATTTCGTCAAACGATCAAATAGATGAAACTCTATTTCAGTTCGGTGCAAAACTAAATAACAAAATTCTCATGCATTTCAAAATGAAGCAGCAAAATTTGAAATTGATTTGTTTTTATGCAGCTTATACTTTATTGGTGTTATGTAATGACATAATAATATAAGGCCGTAAAAGTACTTGTTTTGTATACGCTCCCGAAAACAGTTGTTTAAAATGAGTCTTTTCCGGACTCAATAAAATAGTACGCAAAACGGTTATTTTAGGTACTCAGTCCCCAAAAACAGTTTTTGCGGACTAACAAAATAAAATGGGTTACTACGATAATATTTTTTTTTAATTAGTAAGAGGTGTGAATTCGTGTTTTGGGAACTTTAACAAAAAAATCGTGGAGGCACCACGTACGCAAAAGGTTTTAGGTGACTCCTCTCATTAAATTAATTAATTACGATTCGTCCCCTAAAACCCTATTTTGCGTACTTTATACATAAACAGCTATTTTAGGAACTATTTCTGAAAAATTAAAATAAAAATTTACTATTTATTCAGATCAAGGCTTAGATATTACTTCGAAGAAACTTTGATATAAATACCGGTGACATTTTAATTCTACTTGCAAGGCTCCTCAACTGATGCTTAACTTTAATTATTCAAGCCGAGTAAATTTTTATCGATTAGTTTCGTTGCATGATAGCTCAACACTAATTGCGACAATTTTGCTATGAAATATAAAGTAAAGAGTGTAATCGATATCTGATATCAGACCTTGGTTGATGAAGCCTGAGATGATGGCCAGTATGCACGATGGCGCTGAAAGTGTACGTTCGATTTTGCAAACTCTATTTAAAAACTTGGTCGTCATCCAAATTGCCATTGTTAGAATGGCAAACATGATTATAGTTACGAACCAGAGTTGAGCATCAAAAGTCCTCAGGTATGACGATGATGAAGCTTTTGCTTCAGGTCTTTTCACAAACAGCTGATACCTGCAAGAGGAGAATCATCATTTCTATTCTTTGTACGTTGGTAATAGAATTAGGCTTGGATATGAAGCAAAACTTAGATAGAAGAATTAGGTTAATGGCGAATTTATCTCTCTCGTGACAGCTAAATCAATAACACTAATTTCAAGTTCTTACACAGTCAAGGAGATTATAAAATATTAAGCTGATTTTTTACTCCTTGTTATTAAAATGCATCGGACTTGGGTTTTATGATTACCCTTAAGTTGTAATTTAAATTTGAAACGAGGTTTTTGAAATTTTGTACTCAATGAAGCATGATATTGGAAACTTATTTTATTTATTTGATCGAAAAAGTTATTTACGTTTTATTAAAAATTTTTAATTCTAATTGACTTTTGTAGACAGCGAGAATTAGGAATCAGAAAAGTTCAACAATTCTCATCGCTGAAAAAAAAAATAATTGCAAAAAAAGTAGAAAGAAATAACACATAAAACTATTGTTAATTTACTCTTTTACAAACTGTTTGTATGTTTTTGCAACACTAATACCTTACACTGTTTCTATGGTGCATTTAGGTTTGCTTGTTATGTTGCCGTTAAAATACGCTTCATCTATAAAGTACGTCGTCAATAGCAGCGTATCTTATGAGTCTATTAAATATGCTGCATATTTTTTATCATCTTGACATACTTCTTTATAATAATTTCTGAATTTAGTAAAATTTCTGATTCAATATTAGTGTTGCAAAAAATCTTGAAGACAACATGATTTTATAGTCTAAAAATCTCAGCCTATTAAATTCTCGCTCTCCAGAGACAACTCTAGTTGTCTTAATACATACCTATGATTTAGGTTTTCAAGTCGTAAATTTTATTTCTAAATAAAATAGGTTTTTGCTAACCAGTGCTTCAAATATAGAAATTATTAATTGCCAAATAACAATCGAGGTAGTTACAAATAAACTTATTTTTCGATTCAAAGCAAAAATATTGGTTTATGAATTTCACCTATTTGTTTAATTTTTGACATATTTTAGTGCGAATAAAATTATTCTGAATAAATATGTTTCCGGATTGAGTTTACAAGAGGAAAAAAAATCTTTGATTTTGCGCCAAAACATTTTTGCTTCACCTGAAACGAGCAAATCTGAAAACTTTATTATTCTGACCCATTGGAGAGAAAGGTTCCTTTGTCTCTTGATTTTGAACTTGTGATAATTTTTCTCTGGGTTTCACATTGGTTTCACATCACATTAGCGGTTTTATTTTTTTGGCAACAACGTCACTTTGACAAATGAGTTTACGCAAGTTAAATAACAAAAATGTTTGTGAAAAACATGATTTTAATAAATGACAACTTAAAGAAACAGCTTTTAAATTTTTTAAGAAGAACAATCATTATTCAGTTAATTAATTAATTGTCAAAGTGACAAAATTGAAACCGCCAATGTGATGGAACTTGGAAAGCATAAACAAGTCCAAAATCAAGAGAAAATTAAACATTTCTTTCTTTCCACTGAGTTAGAATAAGTTTTATTTACAGATTTGGTCGTTTCAGGTTAAGCAAAAAATGTTATTCCTTTGAAGTTTTAGCGTAAAACTAATTTTTTTTTCTCTTGTAAACTCGATCCGGGGACATACTGTATAATAATAGGGTGGACGGTAATTTCTTAAAATGATTTCGATTATATTTTTTTAGACACTTATCTGAGAATCTAATCTAAATAATTAGTTTATTGATCATGACTGGAAAATGAGTTCTTTGTTGGAACACATTACGAAATGTGGCCACATGACAAATAATGTTTTTTACTGAAAATTAAACTAGTATAAATTACTATTGATATTACTGTTGATAAAAAATAATTAAGATTGAAATTATGTGTTGCCACAATACAATAGACGTTACATTTTTGTTATTACTGTTAATCAGTTACTTGATCTAAAAAGAAAATGTTTTAAATACGAAAATTTTTCACTTAACAAATTTGTTGGATAATTGGAAAACTTTTTATTTTGGAAATGTAAGTCTTATGAAGCTTTTCGTACAACGTACCAGTTGTAAAAATAAGGTTGCGAATACATCACGTTTAAGAGTCCCTGTTTAGCGACTACCGGAGCTAGCATGACATCAGCGTGTCCTGAGGTAATTATCTCTAATCCAGTGTCGTAATAAACGGACGATACGTTACTCCTAAAACCCATGTGGTATTAAACTAGATTTTTTTTTAATAACTTACGTAAAGCCCAATAAACATTCGATCAGTTGCCATATATCCCCCAAAAAGCCCCCTAATGTTTGCGAATAATTGCTAGACGTGATATAAGGCAACATCTGCAATGATAGTAATTTTCCATATTTCGCATTCCTTACCAACTTTTACACTTACATTATCGGCTATGACTCGAACCGTTTTCCCACGAATCGGCTCTAAATTATGACTGTAATTATTCAGTAGCGTCACGTTGAACAAAGATATAAAGTTAGTTTGGTCTTTATTCCACACGAAAATACTTTCGCAGTTTGGTTTCACGTATTTTGGGCCGTTTTTACAGATGTTGTAGGCGAGGCCGGCGCTTCCGTCTATCTAAAATAATATCAGACTTTTATTTAGAAGGGAAAGTTTCGGTGAAAAGTACTAGGGCGAGGAAAAGTTTTACGCAAAGAAACATTTTCTCTCTATACTCAAGTGAAACTTCTTTTATAGTGAGCAACAAGCGTTTTTGGGTTTCTATGATTGATAATAACAGGTGAAAAACTTCACACGTTGTGACATAAATTGGTTGACCTACAGTTGATTGAAGCAGTGTGAATTATTTATCGACATGAATAAATTTTTTCATTATAGTTTTTTTCAATAAAACCAAATGTTTTGAAGTGCTTTCAAAATTGTGTTTAGAAAAATGGATCATACCAACTTCAGAGCATACGGAAATTTAATATAGCAGACTTTTATCGTCTAGAATACTCGAATTATTTTATATTTGATATATAAAGTAGTTCGTTCTTTATAAATTTATGAAGAATAAAACCGGAGTCGCGCACTAAATATTGAATAAAAAAGTCCCAGCGAAATTGTTCTCTGAAAGCTGGACAGCATATGCACGTAATCATGTTAAAATTACAAGGTTTATGAGCTGCAGCTTGCACCATATGTACTTTTTATTCGATTTTGATCATAATTTTGAAACTTTATTGGTGTGAATAAATAACTGAAACGGACGTAAATTTTTCTACAAGAAAAGTTTTTTGTTTAAGTAATTAAAGTTTTGAATGATGCAATTAAGAAAAGGTGGATGCGCCGGGCAAGAATACATTTTATTCACGATCATAAAGTAATCAAATTACCTTGCATGTGAAAAATTGAAAAGTCATTTAACAACATGAAATATACAATTAAGGTTGGGAAATGGTCACTTCCTTATCAGTTGATATAATGACAGACAAACTCGATAATTTAATTTTGGGAGTGAATTTTTTATTTCAACAGATTTTTATGAAACAGTTCTATTTTTACGATTTACAATGTTTTAACTATAGTTGGCTTTGATTAATAATATTTTACTTGTTTTAAATGAAATAATGTCAATGTTGTATGAGATTTGGTTTATCTACCTGGAGATGGAGAGTTATTAGTTGTCTAATAAAGTTAATTATAACATAAATGTTGAGAACGAAACTGGAAATAGAAAATCTTTTCTCATCTTACGCTTAGAATTATTTTGAACGAAATTGTGAAGATATAATTGTGCGCTGCCGTGTCATATAAATACAGTCTGAGAATTTTGTGGAATTTTAATGGAAAATGTAGATGAAATAGCTATTTATGTATCAAGTACGCAAAATAATAATTAAAATTTAGAAACATTTCAGGAAACTGAAGTGAGCAAAAGGATGTGTCCCATCGAATGTGTAAAGTTTAATTGGCCTTTAATTGTTAAAATATTTAAAATTGTTATACAGAAGTGAGAGATACTATTAATCTGCTGCATTTTCCGAAATTATCTGAAATATACAGAGTGTCTTAAAAAAATCTACAAAACAAAGAGGTTTTTTTAATTATACACTTTGCTTAGTTTTTCAAATGTTTTGTTTTCTTTGACGAAAACGCTTTTTTAAATCTATTGGGTACACAAAAACTATACGTACGTCATATTTGGACTGTTTTTGAACTAGTTTTTTTTTTCTACAACCGTTTTTTCACCATATTTTCAGAAAGGGGGGTAACCAATTACCAGCTGCTAGATTTAATGACAAAACTGCGATATCAAAAGAAATTGTTAGTTTTAAAGTTTTTTTGCTGGCTCGTAGAAAAAATTATACAGGGTGATTCTTATATAGACCGACAAAATTTTATTACAGCTTACCAAGGATAAATGAAGACAAACTGTACCCTTTTTATGTTTATATCTTTTAGGGGCAAAACGCCCCTGATCCGTGCCGCTTACGGCGTTTATGAATTATTGTAATGATCAAGTACCTTATCATCAAATTAATACCATGGTTTCCACTACCTGTGCTAACGAACACATCAGTGGCGTACGCTTTACCTCAAAAATAATTTTAATATAATTTATTTGGAGAATGCTTAAACAAAGAATTTTTTAAATATTTTTTCCAGCATGTACTCATTTGATACTACCAAGGATAAAATTTTGTCGGTCTATTTTAGAATCACCCTGTATGCATTACACTGGAGGAAAGTGTATTTTTCTCCTTGGGTGGTTACTGGCCGAGACTTGTCGAAGGCACCTATGAGAGGACTTTCCTTTCTTGAAAAATTGAAAAAAATTAGTTTGTTAAAAGAGAAAGAAGAGAAATTAGGTAGTTGTAGTCAAAAACTTTGTATTAAGCA